CGCTCAGGCACGGCGACATGACGAGCGATAAAAGTGTTCATTGAACGTCGCCTTTTTCGCACAGTAACGACCTTCATGATAATCGATATTGATCGTTCACTTTGACAGCTGCAACACTTAAAAGTTGCAACACGTTGCAAATTTTTTCTCGAATTAAATAAGAAGGGCGACATTCATAGGAACACTCGTCATATCGCCGTGCCTGAGCGCGCGAAATCTCAGGCCTGCCATTGGTGAAATGTACTCGCTTATTACTTGAAAACTATTGTAGCCTCGACATTTTTGTATTGGAATTTTTGTCTTGAAATTTCCTAACGAATCTGCGACTAAAAGGATATCCGGTGGTTTTAGTACATTCTGTATACAAAGTAATAGATGTGAAATAAGAATAATATAATAATAGATATTAATACAATTTTAAACTTGTGATATAATAATAAATATTTGTACAATTTTAAATTTGAATTATTTCAATTGAATTTTTATGTTTACGTATCCAAAATATTACAAAAGTATGTAAATATATTGAAACTGTTGTGCCACAATGCACTCTTCTCTTTCCCTGATTTTAGGACAATCGAATGATAGGTTTGACAAATTAATTTTTATTCGTGCTGTAAAAAAGATACTAAAGAAACGAGCTGTCTCTCTTTGACAACTTTCCACCTCACCCATTGCTTTAGTGAAAGTGTATGAACTTGGCCGATGTATACGTGTGTTCACGTTGTTGGCATACTAGTTAGACAATGAACAGCATGGTTACGTACAAGATGACTTGACGTTATACCATTTAATAGCAATGGATTAACTACGAGCAATAAAACGGCTAAAGGTACTTTAGAAAAGCCGCCTGCGAATGCGGTAGATGGAATAAGATCGTAAAACTGACCTTGTGGCTGATAAAAAAGTATTCTTATCTTCATGATTTTCTTGTCCCGACGTATTAGGGCGATTTTAAAATACGTAAACATGACTTCTCATGTATTTTAATTAATTATTATTTTCCACGTGACATGTCAAACTCGTGAGAACCGGTTACATGTATAAATAAAACATAAGCTCTGTGTAGATTATACGCATCGCGATAATTTATGCAAAAAGAACCATTATCTCAACATTCGCATCATAAGAGAGAGATAAATAAATAAATAATAGACAGATAAATAGATAGCGAGAGAAAAAGATAAATAATATACTTTCTAATAACTTTTTGGTATTCAATATATTAAGTTTTTATTCGAAATTAGTCAAGTAAAATTTTGTAATTTATTAAGCTGCTAAAAATTGATGAAAAGCCGTCCGTCTCTTACTTGAAATAATAAAGTGAAAAGTGTCAAATTAGAAACAATTAACTTTATATAATCATGAGCGCGCGTTTTTGTTGCATCAAACTATGTTAGTAATCTCGAAATTGAATGGAATACGATCGCGGATAATTCGCAGGCGCATTTGATAGTAATCTCGACCATTCCCGTTTCACCTACATTGCACACAAAGCTAATATGCAGAACGTGCGTGTTTCTTTCAGAATACGTTTCGCCATTCATAAATGAGCACATGATGCCTCTGGGTACTCTGAGAATGTGTCATTGGAAAATACACAGACGGACTCGACTGGACGTTAATTGAGAGCCGTTACATTAGGATTCCCTTGCTTTAAAAATATAACGTGGTTTGCAAATACTGCGATGAATCATTTCAGGAAATCGTTTGTATCTCGATGAAAATATAGTATTTGCTAAAATGTTTCCTTTCACAACTTGTGACGCAATTAAAATTAAAAATCCTATACAGTTTGCTAAATCGTGATTCAGAATCAACGATATAAACAATTGGACTGATAATAGTGTTCTAAAATAAATGTGTATACGTGCACAATTTATCACTAAAAACATGAAATTACATTGTTACAACATACAATTAAAATAATCGTTATAAGCAATATCAATTTCACGTATTGCTATTGCAAACCGCATTAAAAAATCGAGGACAAGGTTTTATGAAACATGAAAGTAAGCATAGACCTTGAGCTCTACCGCTTTCCTCTCGAATACAATAAACTTTTTAAAACGCAAATAATGATTCTGCCGTGAAAATTATTAATTATTAACACATTGCGAAATTCACGAGTTCGCTTAATTTTTGAGTGATAAAAGTAAGTTGCTATGTTTCTCCCCCAAAATTCCTAAGAGAATTTAAAAGTACGTAATTTTTAGAAAAATATTGTGTAGGTTTATATGTAAAGCACTTCGGAATAAAACTTTAACAAGTACTTAGGCACATCGTTGTTGTCGTTAATAAAATAATATTGAATGTAATTAAAAATTTACAAAATAAATTGAGAACAAAATAATTATGGGTATAATAAGAAGAGACTTAGAAGCTGCTCTCGAGTTCTCTAATTCACTCATCTCTACTGATTCGCATTATAAAAAGGCACCTATTAAACTGCTGATCCCAGTTGCGTATCACTTTGATAATTGATTTGAATGATATTTTGAACATTTAATATTCTTTGTCAAAATTCTATTGTAGTTTGGCTTTTATCTTTACCCGCTAATCATAAATCGCCCCTTTGCTTCTATCTTCTTGTAATTATTACAATATATTTATTATTCATTCCAACATCGCATCTTGTGTAAATATAAATTTTCAATCGAGTAACGAATACAAATTAATTTATTTTCAATACAATGTAAATATTCGTACGTATATTCGTAAATAGAAGAACATATCTCGAGAACATATCTAATAAATTTTTGTGTACAATATAATGAAAAATTTTATTTAAATTTTAGAATTTATATTACGAGGAGAAAATTATATATACACGTATTATTAATATTAGACACAGTATAGATCTCTATAGATTTTCCCCGCTGTTACGAAGATTTTTATTGATTGCATTTATTGCAGTAATAGGAAGATTGTGGCGTAATAGGAAAATGAATGTTAACTTGTTATCTTGGATTCTCCCCTTTTCATCACATCAGCACGAGCCTGCAAACTACGTGAGTAACGCAAAATGTGAAATTGAGGTAGAATTCTAAATATTGTTGGCAATATAATTCACAAATCTTTCCTCTTGTACCCCCTAAGGAAAAAGTGCATTTACAATTGTAAATCTAGGGAAAACCAATCTCAACAATCACTTCTTCTTATAGTATTAATATTTGTATAAATTGAAACAGTGAATTGTAATTATAAATATACATATATGTATTACACGTTGATTATAACGAAATAAAAATATTATTATGCAGATAAAAGTATTAAAAGTTACGTTTGTACGTTTCTGTGTCTTTTATTTCTTTATGTACCTTCTAAATCGTAAGTGATAAAAAAGAAAATAGTTATATAAAAGTTTCGAAAAAGATCAATTGCTTATCAAACAAAGAGTTACATTTCTTTAATGAAAAATTATTCTATAAAGATAACAAAATGTTTAATAACATTTCTACTCAAGTCCTCATAATTTTGACGCAGACGGACTGCAATATGCTAATTAATTTTTTGTTACTCAGTTATTCGGTAGAAGAACCTTCTAAGAAAATATTATTATTCGGCGAAAGAAATCACCTAAACGGGGATCCCCTATTGGACCTTTGGTGTCCGAAAATTCCGTACATTCTTCCGAGTCTACGCACTCGTAGCCGACAAACCACTACGTCACGCGCATTACTCATAATTGATTGAATGTTTCACTTAGTGAAACATTTATTCCATTATTTCCGTTACGTATCTATTTCGTTACGTATCCATTCCGTTATTCATTACGCATTATTTTCCGATTGTATTATTCCATTGACATTGTGTCCGCCATTTATTTTATATAGATAATTGTTCAAAAGAAACACACACAAACCATGAATCGCGTATAATTTACGACTGAATTAATTCTTGGATTCAACCAATAAAGATTTTTTTAAGTATAATTACGTCAGATTTTTATCAAATAAACGTATTGTGTCGTGTTCTAAAAGTTTTGAGGATAAATAAAATTAACTGGTAATTTTATGCGACATAAAAACACATTTCCCTATAAGTGCGTTTCTTTTTTATACACTTTGGATTAAAATCGCAGTTTAAATCAAAATGCAATCAAAATGTGATCGAAACAAACACGCATAGTGCATAGCGTAACGCAACAAAATTTTTATCTAATGCTACGCCCGCAGTGTTGCATTTAATTTACAAGCGTTTACTGCAAATTAGCATTCACGGTTACACGCGGGTTAATAATAACATATTCTTCGCAATCATTTCTCTCGCGGCGTGGAATATAAAGTAGACATAAAATTAAAGGAAAGAACTTTGTAAGATATACATATTGAAGGAAAAGGCCACTTTGTAAGGCGGTAATTATCTCCAAGGTTACTTGTTCTATTCGCTCGGTAAAATCATAACATTGGGCTACACTGGAATCCTGATTCACGATTCTACGTGCGATTCGTTCAATTTACTTTCATTATTTCACTTCGGTCCATAACTGTTCAATTTATAATCCGCCGGAACTGTCGAATTGACCCCGCAACCCCGTACACGCGAAAACGTATGTAAATAATTTGAATAACTTTATGGAAACCACGAAATAATTAAAAGCAACGTCGCCAAAACCAAGAAATAAAATCTTCGTTGTAATTTGAAGTCACGATTTTACCATTGCTATAATTTTATAGTAAAACGTAAGGTAGACAAACTTGCTGCGTTGGGGAAAAAATCTAATCGTACAAAATAAAAGAGCCAACAATTAAGCTAACGGTTTAGGAAATGCAGGTGACACATTCTGTCCCCGAAAATTGCGTAACAGCTGACTAAGAAAAAATGTTAAATCACGCTCGCGCGCGTCAATGATCCCAGAAGACGTAAACCAGGGGGCGGGCAGCGGTCGACAAAGTGGCGCGGAGTCGTAGAGATAATAGTGGTGGCGGTATAGGGGACAACCACGAACAATTCAGAGTCCTCATGGTCGGTTCTATATAAAAGTACATGTCATATCAACCGGAGAAGGCATTCTCTCTTAGTAACCGGCCCGCTGATGATCGAACGTTAAGGTCGCGTTAAGTACAAAAGCCGCGTCGACTGGTTGTCCGAGTGGCGTCGACGAAGAAGAGTCCAGGAAATAACCGGAATAACCGGAAAGAAAGCACCGAGTGAGGAGAAAGACAACCAAGGGGGACAAGAAGAGAAATAGGAACAATTAACGAGTGCGTTGCCTTCAAAGAAGAACTGCCGAGTGGAGCCAGTGTTCGGTTGAAGAAAGGAAAAACGGAGCGTGTATATGTATATGCACGAGTGAAAGGGAGCCAGAATTGTTGTATTTCGACAGTCGTTGGCAGTACAAGCCGCGACGTAAAAGTGTTAGCGCTCGCTGAAATTACTCGTTGCTGGAGACAAACAGAAACCCAGGCGGAATCGAGTGAAAAGGTGAGTGAGTGCCGAGATGATAAACGAGGGGCGAATCATAGAAATTGTTTACGGTACGCCTACTGACAAATTAGGAGGTCAATTAATAGAAATAACTTTTTGTGTCACGCATAATATACTAGTATGTCATAATAGATAATATATATATGTTTATTTAGAAATCGAATGTTTCTCTTCGACAGAATAAAAATATTTAATCGTAACAGCCGCAGCGTTCGTTGTGCGCTTTTATTTTTGCACGAAAACTTTTAAGTATTATTTAAAAGAGAATAATCTTCTTTTGCGTTCAACTCTTTTATATAATATTTCTGCAAATGCACCGCGTAATTCGAGTAATGGACGCATAAAATGGTTCACTGTATGCAGGACGATTTGTAAATGCGCGTTGATGTATGCGCTCAGAGGACGAATTTATACAAAATATGCTAAACTATTTGATTATGTGAATTTTGCTTATTCCCTAATAGCACAATATATTAGAACAGTGATAAAATCGTAGTGCAATTAACGCACTTCTTTTAAAAACAAGACTTATTTGGGGATTTTATTATACACATGTAGTAATGTATATTAAACTTGGAAATAGTACAAATCTAGTATTATGTGTATATTGAGTGTGAATTGATTCATTTTTTATATAAATTGCAATATTATAGTAATGCATTTGCATTTATTTTATGGTCAGTGTTGACTTCACATTAGGAAACATCGGTCAATGAACCCTCGACATATGAGTAAAGTTTAGCCAACGTAGAGTCAATGCGTTGTGCCAACAGGTATTTCTGATTCAAACTATTCAGATATTCATCTTTTATTTTACATTAGAAACACGTCATGATTTAAATTGTTTTGTACAAAGTATTAAACAGTTTACGATTTGTATATCAACTTAACGATCTTAAATTTTACAAATTCTGTAATTTCTACACGTCCACACGCGATAAAATGACCTACTTTTATACTGTGTTGAATTGTTTCAATGATTAATTGACTCAAACCTCGCAAGATCTCAGGTGGGCATCACTGTATAGCGCAAGATACTAAATTAAAAGTTTATTTCGGTTAGTATACGTTCTTCTAGATTTGTCGATATTACGCAAATGCGATTAGTTGAATCCTGACGTTATTAGAGCGAGAAAACACGCTTGAGCAATCAGCGCTCGCATTAACAAATTTCGACATTACCACAAATCGTATCCAAGTGCTTGCGTTACAATTGATTCCGATCGTAAAAGTGATTCGACCATTGCTATGCAGAATGTGAGGAAATGCTAGGACGTGAAAATAGCTCATCAAATTAAATTTAAAAATCAATCGAAAGTCTCTGTCAGAGATTGAGGAAATTATTTTCGCT